ATATTTGTTTGTGATTTGATGAATGTATAGTGAAAACACTTCAGGTGAATTGTACAAAAACTTCATACGTGAGAATAATGAATAAATTTCATTGCTGCTTCTAGGCAAGAAAACTGACTTGGTTTCTGATAGCACAGCCAAGCAAAATAGAGTGGATCTTGCTTGAACATTGCTATCGTTTGATCTTTATGGGATGTTGCATCAGAATCGTTAAGTAACGAGCATTGGGATTTGTTTTAAACTGCCTTCGTTCTGAAACAAAAAGTTATCTTACGATGGAACAATGAGAACATGCTCAAAATTACATGTGAAAAACTTCCGTTTCACCGGTAGTGATATCAGTGAAGACTGACAAGCGATGGTATTGTGTTCAACATCAAACCAGAAAGAGAATCGATTTACTGACCAACAACATTTCCTCGATTCGTACTGTAACACGAAAACGGCAATCCACATATGACTGATTGTGAGTGAATCTCGTTTGATCCATTCCATTGCCTGATTCAGCACCTCGAATTGCATTAATATTTAATTTATGGGAGAAGTTTCCAATGATTTTGAGTTGGATGATGAATTGATTTGTGGGTGAAACATAACTACTGAGCAATTTCCAATGTTTTAAGCAGTGACATGCTACCGTTTTATTCGCATCTACCAATGTTCAATGAGAAAATTTCGGCTTCCAAACGTTTATTTGTTTGCTAAAATGAAATCAAATGTCTTAGTGAATGATTTGACAATTCAAAAAACGCTCAAAAAATGCTGACAGCTGATTGAAAAATCTATCAGCTAAGTCGTTGACAGTATCAATAAACAAGACGTTGATGGAATACATTGTTGAGACCTTGCAATAAGAAATGACAGTTAACGACAAGAAATGACAGTTACTTGTCTCATAAACCATGGAATGTAACTCGATCCATTCGACCCTGATAAATGACTAGCGTATTTAATGTGTATATATAGGATGTAAGATAACTGTGAGGTAGTCGACAGTTCGTTACAAAATCATCTGCGAGATTGCTCCATGCAAAACCTTCGTTTGTTGGAATCTCTGGAAGTGTGATGGCGAACGATTACGAATCTGATCCAGGATGGCGGTATTTGAGGCGATCTCGCGAGGAGATCATTCAAGTTGGTTTGATTCATTGGTTGATTTTATCATCAGTGACGCACCCAAGGAGGAAGGGCGTAGGGGCAACATATTTTATATCAGTATTGCTTAGCGAGAAAAGAAGGACAGAATTTCTATTGTTAGTTTCGTTGGAGTTCACGTCATTTTATGTCTAACAGAAAGCGATGAAACGTCTTATTTCCAGCAAACATCGGAAGGACTTGAAGCCTAAAAGGAGGTTCTGAGAAATATTTCAGTTGATCCATTTGTGAAATTAACCGCCCAAGTTTACGTTAAGGATCAGTCGGCACCATACGATTCGAAGAAAGATTGTTGGATTCCGGATAAAGATGAGGGCTATAGAGCAGCGCAGATCGTGACGACAAAAGGAGATCAAGTGACCGTTAACGTGGCCGGAACGGAGGTAAGTAAATAGCATTTAATTTCTTTGAAGTAGTATGACTACTTTCGACAATGTAAGATACTTCATTGAATATATTAGAGTTTCTAACGTTTCTAAAAAAAATTAGTCCAATTCTAGTTCCATAACGTTACAAAATATCTCTTAAGTGCAGTAATAGTAAAAGTTGATTTCGATTCACAAAGGCAAATTTACACGTATGCAATCGGCAGTTTAAAGCTTCATTCCAGAGAGCATTTTCAAAGTTCCAAATTTCAGTAACTTTCAGAAGACTGTCAAATCGGATTTCATCAGTCAAATGAACCCACCGAAATTCGAAAAGACCGAAGATATGTCCAATCTAACGTTTCTCAATGACGCATCCGTTCTGCACAACCTTCGAGCGCGCTATGCAGCTATGCTCATCTATGTGCGTAATTTCTTCTGTGAAACTCTCACATGAGCATTTTTCCGTTCCTAAATTTGTTACTGAATAATTCAAACGATTATTTCGAATCCATGTGAAAATCCATGAAATGAGCTAATTAATAACGAGTGAATTTCACAATTTTTGAGTTTTTGATTTTTTAGACTTATTCGGGTTTATTCTGTGTTGTAATCAACCCATACAAACGTCTTCCAATCTACACGGATTCAGTGGCGAACATGTTTATGGGTAAACGTAAAAACGAAATGCCACCTCATCTGTTCGCAGTATCTGACGAAGCATATCGTAGTATGCTACAGAATCANAGATAACTGTGAGGTAGTCGACAGTTCGTTACAAAATCGTCTGCGAGATTGCTGCATG